TCCTAATATCTAATAACTTAATTAAATAAGATAGAATTAAAATTTCATTTTAAAAAAATAATTTATTAATATTTATTTGAGATATAAATCTTTTTGTATCAATTCATAATATTTATATAAATAAAGTAAAAAAATAATTTTTTTAAGAATTTAATTATATTATAATAATTATTTTTATTATAATATTTTTATATTTTAATAATTGAATTTTATAAAGTTTATTAATATTATTATAATATTATAAAATATTATTATACTTATATTAATAAATAAAATAATAAAAATATTATATAAAATATATTATATATTATATATTATATATATTATATAAATTAATTTATTTTAACTAGTATTATTTAATAAAAAATTTATAAAATATATTATTATTAATATTTTATATAAGTTATATATTTAGAATAATTCTTTAAAAAAATTTATAAAATCTGAAAAATATATAATAAATTAAATATTTTATTTTAATAAAAAATAAAAATTATTTAATAATAAATCTATAAATTAATATATAAAAATTTTTAATTCTATTATATTTTATTAATAAATATTTAAAAAATATATTTATCATTATTAGTGATAATACCAGATTTTTTTTGTGAAAAAATTTTTAGTACTTTAATATAATTATCTTGTTAGAAATATTAATTAGTTACTTTAGAGTAAAACTTTACAAGAAATATTTTTTTTTAGAATATAAAAGACAGTTTTATTTATAAAATTTTGAGTTATTATCATTTTTTGAAAAATCATTTATTTTTTAAATTTTTTTTAATTTCACAATTTAATTTATTAATATTTTTATTATATATAAATTTTATAATTTTAGTAATCAATTAAATAATTTAATATTATTATTACTAGTAACAAATAGATTTACCCATAAATATTTTAATATAAAAATTTTATCTTTATTATATTTTATGAATAATATTATTCTTTTAATTTTATAAATATAAAATTATAATATTTAATTATTTTTAAATTAATTTATAAGATTTTTCAAGTTATATTTCTAATATATTTAAACTTAAAAAATATAATTTTGAAATTTATATTATTTAATTAAATATTAATTAAATTTTTTATTTTATTTAATCTGTTAAATATAATTATATTTATTTATATAATATAATTAAAATTTAAACTCTAATTTTATAAAAAAGAAATTTTAATATACTTTATAATAATTTATTTTTTATAAATTCTTTTATAAATATTTATTTTAATAAAAATAAATATTATTAAATTTAAAATTTAAATTTATTAAGTAATATTTAGCTAAATAACTTTAAAAAAATATTAAATATATATAGAATAATAATTTATTTTTTTATTTTAATATAGTTTTAAGTATTTTATATTATAATCAAATATTAATATTTTTAAAATTCTAAAAATTTTATATAATTATTATTTTAAAATCTAACTAGTAATTATTTTCTTTATAATAAATTTAATAAAGTTATTAATAAGATTTTGAAAGTAATATCTGTAAAAAAAGTTTTAGAAATCTAAAAATTTTAATATTTAATTATATAATTATTAAATAAATATACTTAAATTATGTAAAATAAAAAATATATATAGAATTTATAACTTTAAATTAAATAATAATATAAACTTTTTATAATTATATTAAAATATTTTTTAATAAGAATAATTTAAAATAAAAAAATTAAATAAAATTGTTTAGTATATATTTCACTTATAATATTTTTATACTTTTATTTTTATATAGATAAATATTAAGTATAATACAAGATATTAATATAATAAATTTAATATTAATCTTTAATTATAAAACTATTTAAATATTATGAAATATATACAGTGATGTGCAAAAAAATGATAATTAGTTTTTTAATTGTAATGAATTGAATAATTATTCAAATAATATAAGCATTTATATATATTCTTTAATATTTAGAGAATAAGTTTACTTAAGATTATAAAATAAAAAATCTTAATAAAATTTTTCATAAATTTGCATTTTATATTCAAAAATTCAGCTTGTAAAATTAATTACAAAAATTTATATATGATTTTTTATAATAAAAATATTAAATATATAGTCAAAAAAAAATACTTTAAATTATATTTTCTTTATTATGCAATAAGCTGAATTTTTGAATATAAAATGCAAATTTATGAAAATTTTATTAAGATTTTTTATTTTATAATCTTATTCTCTAAATATTAAAGAATATATATATAAATGTTTATATTATTTGAATAATTATTCAATTCATTATAATCAAAAAACTAATTGCCATTTTTTTTGCACATTACTATATATTAAATTAATTAATTTTATTTAGTAAATATCAGATTATATTATCTTTTTAAATTATTATATATAGTCTATATGAAATTATTAAAAGACAGTTTTTTTAAAAAATTTAAAATAGTAATATTATATGAAAATTTGTTTTTAGACTACTTGTAAACAGGATTTTATATTGTTGAAATAACAGGTTTTTTTTATATATCAATGCTAATTTAAATATAATTTGATATTAGAATACTTTTTCTAAGAATTATCTTAAATATATATGTTAATACAATAAAAAAATCTTTTTTAACATGTTTAATTTTATTAACTTAGTTCTTCTTTTCATATTTTTACTTGAAGATAACATTATATTAAATATAAAATTGAGATTCAGACTTGATTAAAACCATAACAAAATGCATATTGCATATTCAATAAAAGATTTCATGAAAATTTTTTAAAAAAAGGCTTCATATAACTAAAAAGTAAAATAATTAAAATTTATGTAAAGTTAAATATTATTTACAAGAATGAATGCGATTTTTGCAGAATTGCAATGATTTAGCCAAAAGTTCTTCCAGATCTCAGGATCAATTTTTTTAATTTTTTGATGATAAAGAAGAATAATTATTACATACTGAGTGACAAGTAAACAGGAAAAATATAGCATAAGTCAGTATAAATCAACAAGTAATTTATTATGTCATGTGCACATCTCAGCAGATGCACAACCAAAAGTCAGTATACCATTACATTCAACGAACTGTAATATTCTATATCCAGGTTAAGATTGGTTTAAAAAATTATTTGCGCAAAGCGCCTATTTCTTTATAATAAATATGCGCACTTTAAAAAATATATAAGCATGATATTTAAAAAATTATATGCTTATAATAAATTTTTTTTACAAAATCCAAATTGAAAATTGAAAAAATTTCAAATTCATCTTATTTTTTTCTAGGTTGTCATTTCCAAATATTATAGCTTTGTCAATCAAAATTTTCATGTATTAAGTTAGATTTGATTTTTAATCATATTTTTTGTGCGCAATCGATTCACTTTTAAAAAACGCAAATCAATATGGGCAAATCTGCGAATGTCTTGTATCTGCGCTGCAGATTGCGCAGACTTACTTCAAACAATGATTCTATAATGTATTGTTGCAACCGCAACAGAAATGCCGTAATTATGAAAATTCTGGAATAATGGAGAAAGTTAATCTTGTATCCCTAATTAGTAATGTGCCACGAAAAACTTATTGTCCCACAATAAATGTACTGCGTGATTATTTTTAAAGGGAAAATGCATGATACATGTAATACTAATAATATAAGGATTGTTGAAATTATATTTCATTTAATAAATAATTTATAGTATAATTTCGCAAGGAACATTTTTGTTAGAACACAGAAATAATTTTCAAGAATAAGCGTTTAATTAGTTTACCACTTAATCACATGAACTAAAAAGCCCATCCGATCAAAATCCCGACGGAATTCAAATAAAAATTCTTATCTTTTAATATCAACATTGTCGCGCTTCGCAAAATTCTTATTGCGATCATTAGAAATTTCATACAAAAGTTCATATTGTACGTTATTGCTATGATCCATAGGGAATGATCACATTTTTTTTTACTAAAATTTACATTTTGTATCGTACATAATTCTGCTTTATTTTATTTTTATTATTCATTAGGTTTATATATTCCTTTATCTCGAAGCATAGCCCATATACCTTTTGTAAAAATTCTTACAAAAAATTCATACTTTGTACTTTAGACCCTCGAATTCTTTCTGTAGATTAGATAGCTGTTTAATACATGCAAAATCAAATTGTATATAAAGAAAAGCTCATGAAGGTCTGAAGAGACAGGCCGTGTGTGGTTTGATAAAAATCTTTCTTTTATGCCATAAACGAAATTGATGGCTTTTTTTCTTTTGTACTTAATAAAATCGAAGGATTTACTCTTTAATTCTTTGATTTGGTTAATTGATTTGATTTTTGAATTGTGAGTTTGTGATTTATTGTTTTGGAATAAAACCTATTTTTGTGGTTTGATTAAATTATTATTTGAATTTTGTTAGTAGAACTTTGAAGTTATTTTGTTATGTTAGTAATTAGGGTTTTTATTATTTACAATTATCTTTATCTTTGATTACCATTACTTTTGATTTCTCAATCTCTATGCAAAATTGGCATTTAGAACTCCAATAAACCCCATTTCGTGTAAATAACCACGACCTTGGTTGCAACTGTAATTCTTTAGTCAATCTAACTTTTGAATTTAGTATAACAGTATAATGTACATTTTAAAGTTGCTCATAGCAGAATTGTTCTTCCTTTTTAATATAAATTTAATTGAAATGGATTTGCTATTGTAGTTATGTTTCTACTTGTTACTTTTTGAAGTCATTGTATTAGTCGATCTTTTAGAATAGACCAAGCGATAGCGATAAGAAAAATTTCTTGTTTCTGATTAATAGGTCATTAGACTAGGATTCTTATGTTTTTCAATTTCGTATCTTTATTGATAGTAACACTATTAGTCATGTTACGTATATATACTTATTCAATAGAGCTTCGACAATAGTAATTGGGACAGATTATTTGAATATTGAGAAACTTTAATAAATAATTAATACACACACAAACAAATATTACATTTATCATATTAATAGTTACTGTGACAACAATAAACATAAAAAGAAAGTTATTTAACCCCACTAACAGTTTCCCAAGCTGATGATGTATTTTCTATTATTTTACTTTCCGTTCCCTGTAATAAATTTGTGGATTTTGATTCTTCTTCAACATCAGTACAACTACCAGACGATATTGCATCATTGTTAGGAATTTTATCGATTATTATTGTGGAATTTGATTCTTCGAAATTTATTAAATTTACTTTAAAATTGTTTTTTTCTTCCTTAGAAGAATCATTCTCTTCCTCATTTTCCCTTTCTTCGTTTGTTTTGCCATCGGCTTCACTTTTTACTTCTGCTTTGATCTCTTTTAAGAATTCGTTCTTTTCAACTTGCTGAATGCATTCCTGTTTCTCCTCGTTTTTCTTTGCTTTATCGACTAATGCCAAGATTTTACCCGGAATCAGCTCCGGCTCCTTACGGTACAATACCATGGTAGTCATAACTTGACAGGGAGGTAACAAATCTTCAGGAATCTGATCCAAAATTTTTTGCGGAAATTCTAGTTCAGTATTCTCGGTGACACTTGCAAACATTTTCTTTATCTGATAATGCGTAGAGTAACCAAGATTCAATTGTACATCCATTCTGCCAGGGCGAATTACCGCCGGATCGAGATGTTCAATGTGATTCGTGGTCATGATAATGATGATTCCTTCGGATATTGTGTGACCATCCAAACATCCCAAAAATGTGGATAAACTGAAATCGGGTCCGAATCCCGACGAAACAACAGGGCAACCGTCGCCAACCATTGCTTCGAAGAAATCCTGCTTCTGAAGTGATCGTTTGTGTAATACTTTTGATTGTGTATCGACATCTTCGAGAACGATAATTTGATTCGCGGGTACAGAACTGAATGCGGCACTTAATTCACTATCCGGATTCTCTTTTTTCAAGTTTTTCAGATTGATAAAATAAAGATCTCGCTGTAAATGCGCGGAAATTGCATTTATTAAAGAGGTTTTTCCTGTGCCCGGTTTTCCATATAATAAAATACCACGACGGTATGGCAACCCAAGACGAGTATAAAAGTTTTTGTCATTAGTAAAAGTTTCTAATTCTTTTTTAATCAAAATTTCTTGTGGTTTATCCAATGCGACTGTGTCTAAATCACGATTACCCGTCAAGGCTTGAATCAAATTCCACTTATTGCCATTCCTCTCATATCTTGATCGAACCTTTTTCGACCTTAAGTATTCCAAATGAGCACGGGTCACACCATTGATAAAATCTGCCACTGAATCAACCTCAGTTTCGGTCTCTTGCTTTGTAGTCAAAAAAATTGACGGTTTTGATTTCTTATGTCTCGAATCTTCGTCGGGGTTGTCGGGGTCGTCAGACTCAAGACACTTAAAAGTGACATTGAATTCTTTTCCTTTATACTGAATTATAACTGTTTGGTCTTTCTCAGGAAGTATATTAAATTCCTGTGGCGCACAATCATCTTTGTTAGCATCATTCTTTCTATCCTCGTCCGATGGTTTTTGTAATATAAATGCGCCTTCTTTTAGGTGTCTTGTTTGTTGACTAATCATCCACGACAATGCTTCATAGAATTGCGATGGATATTGATATCCCCATCGGCCGGTTGTTGTGGGTTCTATTTGTAAAGTGACCACTTTTCCCTTGCTCGTTGATGTGTCTGTCCAATCTTTATAGGTGAAATGATACAGAGCGCTCAATAATGTTGTTATGCCTGTTGCAATGGTACATGTGACAAACATATCGACAGCCATCACGCCAGATAAATATTGTTCCAGTTGTTTTGGTAACCACGCCATTAATATTGCTGTGACCTGTGTTCGGTTAAATAACGCCACTAATGGCGCGAAAATTTCGGTGTATTCAGACATTTTTGAAGAATAATATTATGCGTTTAAGGGAGAAATATCTAGTTTTTCAAAAAAAAAAAGATCAATGGATTTTTGAATTTATTTATAACTTTCTGGTCTTGTCAAAATTTCAAAATCCCTCCATATTTATACTCTTTTCATTCGATATCGATGACATTGGCACGCACGCTTATGAGTTTCTGTGCTGCGTCTATACATGCACGCAAAATAACAATTGATCAGTCAGAATTAGTATTAGTTGTGTCATTTTTGTGAAAATCTGAATAGAATCAATGTAACTGCGTTAGTTCCACTTAGTATGTCAAACAATAGGAAATATATTCGAGAACTTTCGAGTCATTGATAAAGAAATAACGAAGCAAAGCATTTTTTCCTATTGTAAAAATTGAAGATTAATTTATAAAAGTAGTTGATAAAAAACACTAACTTTTGAGAATATCAAGCAATAATAATATTTTATAATAGTAAATTTAACACATCTTAATAATTTACATTTTTTTACACAAAATATATCAATTATATTAATTTTTTTGGGTGCCTCCCAACATCCCGACACCCAACATCTCGACACCTAACTTCCCGAAATTCCAACATCCCGACAACCCAACATCCCGACAAACTAGTCCATTATAGTGACCGACAACTAGCATTTAAACATCAACGCGATAAATAATTCTTGGTACATGTAATTACCAACCTTATTTTTTCAATTCTGATTTAATATAAAAGTAAATTTTAATTACATATAATAAAAAGTTAAGGAAATTGAACGTAAATCTTATATATCATTACAAAGAAAGATTGCCCGCAAGAAAATCTAACACTGAACGATTTGCTCGATCATTAATAATATTTATAATCTTTCCTTCTCTATCAATTATTTGGTTTTGTCAGGAAGTTTGGTTGTCGGGAGATTGGCTTTGTCGGGAAGTTGGGTTGTCGGAAAGTTGGGTTGTCGGGATATTGGGGTAGTCCCAATTTTTTAATGTAACAAAAAGAAATGTTATGACATAATCATGGTGTCTTCCGTCACCTCTTCCTGAGCCGTATGTTTTTGTTGCAATGCAAAGATAACATTAATTGAAAATCAGCATAATTTGTAATATAAATACACGTGATCACATTTGAAATACTTACATTCAAAAATTTTAACTAGAAGAAATTTACTTAATTAAATAAATAAATAATAATGTATCACCATCGTTATGGGTCAAAAGCAAAATTTAATCACAATTCTTTATTCTGATCGTTTTTTAACAAATAACGATCAAAACAATGAATATAGGCGCGCATACAAATAACGATAACTTTTGGTTCATGTTAAGATCGATTATCTGTTGTTTATCTGACAAGTAGCTCGACACGTCCTTATTTTCCAGATCTTCAAGAAAAGATACTGAATGAAAGAAATCAATGAAAAATTTACATTAATATTAATAGTTTTACCTTCGTATGGAAAACCATTTAGAAATTCGATATAATTTTTTAACGAATATGAAAGTTAATTATGATTGAGATTTATTAACAGAGAATTTACTGTTCCAGTAGGAGTTGGAATTGAAAAAATTTCATGATAAACATTGCATTTGGATGTATTTGTCTTATTTAGAGAATCAATTTTTTCCATTTCTTCTCTTTAACTCTGTTAAGTTCTTTCCATTCTGTTGTTCTAATTTAACAAACTCTTTAATTCCTCCATTTGTTTTAAGGTATCCTAAAGAGCTGTAGAACTGAAAATGCAAAATATTCGATTTTCACAATTATAGTTGATATAGTGTTCGCAGATATATCTGATAAGTGAAAAAAGATCCCCAGCAGTTTTCTGGAACAAGATCTCAACATTTTACAACCTCGTACCCAATCATCTCAAAGCAATATCAATTCGTTTCTGGTTCATGATAAGATTTTCAGTTATACTTTTTGCATAATGATGATAGACTATTTTCGAAAAAGTTGTTTCAGATGAATCAAGGTTGTTTTCTTGCACTGTCGTCATCCTCGAAAAGTCTTTTGTTCACTCCTGATGAGTATGTATTATCATTTTTTGAAGACGAAGTTGGTGAATGCGCACCTATTTTTTCAAATTCTTTGTTCAATGACTTTGTGTTATTAATACATGTATTGGACATTTTTATGTTGGAAAATACAGCATACATGTATGTATAATGATAGACGAAACTTTTGTTCGTACAATAAGGATATACATGTCACACGTGTGCTATAAAAATCCACTCTCAATATATGCGTCGCGTTTTTCCCTTTTTGTTGTTGACCCTAATTTTTTTTACTTTTTATGCCGAAATTTTGTTAGGTGTAAATATGGTACCTATTGTGCCAGTTGGCCAGCATACAACATCTTTAATTTTATGGTATTCTTTTATTAGATTGTTGAGATCTTTATCTCCGCTAGACGATTTATCGATGTAAGTTCGTTAGTGACATTTGAAACAGTCATCACAAGTATGAGTATTGTGAACTAAACACTCGTCGCAGTAGTCATTTTTTTGACATTTACATGTACCACAATTATAGTATTCGATTCCATTTTTGAGTTTATTTTATAAAATGCATTTATAAAGATATAAAGCCCCGTTTATACAGCATACGAAAAATAAATTTTATGTTATGAATATTATTTATTTTTGAAAAACTGTCCGTCATTATATTCCGTGCGGACTATAGGGATATAAAGTTTGATAGAGTATAAAATAAGAAATATACGCGCGAAAATAAAGAAGTTGAAATCACTTTTGGCTCGTGTTAAGACCAGTCAGTTATATGTAGTTTTTCTTGCCAGTCATTCACATTCTCTTTAATTCCATCTAAAATGCACTGTTTTAAATATTAAAAAAATAGTAATAAATTAACAATACAAACAAATATTTAATAGATACTGAACAATACTTATTTAAATGAAAAAAAATATGGTTTAAGATTTTACCTCTTCTATCATTCATTCCAACTTGATTAACATCTTGATTCGAAAATTTTTCCTCGTTTATGTGGTTTTTCTGACGCATTTTCAATGTTGTTTATTACATATATTGTCTTATGATCTTTGTAATTTAGTTTTTAAGAATAAAGAGCATTATCGTTTAAAGAACATTAAACAAAAATTAGAATAATTAATAATTATTACTGTTGTAAACTGATAAATTTACCTTTATTTGTTCGTTTTAAACATATAAACTCATATTAGATTTAGAAACGTCATCTATATTATATTCAGCAGTTATATATTCTAGAATTGCGTATGAAAAAATAATTTAGTAAAAAGACAGTTACACCCTAAGTGCACACTCCCTAAATGCAAACCCACCCTATAATACTATATCTCGTCCCAACCTCTAATAAAATTAAATGTACATGCCGCATACAATAATACATGTATTTACCTTCATTTGGTACATATGAACTAAAATTTGTAAAACCTAAATATTTGATATATATAAATCAATCCGAATGTCATTTTAAATTAATATAATAATAAATGCGCGTATCTCTATCAGTTGGGAATGATATTAATTTTGAAGTAAACAATCGACCGGTATAAGTTGCATTTGGATGAATATGTTGTTCTTTGTTTTTATTCATAGGAATGTTTTTTGTGATTTCTCTTCTCATCAAGCTTATCCAATTTCTGCTGTTCTAACTTAAGACACTCTTTGATTTATTGATATAATCGTCATCGCAGATAGATTTGATAACGTCACCAAGTTCCCGAGCAGTTGATCTGTTTTCTGGAATAGTATTCCAACATTTTTCAATAGTAAATTTGTAACAGCCGGAAACATACTCAGGTGTCGTACTCCTTTATAGATGTTTATTATGAGATGTATATCCCAAAACTATAATATCTGCCGCGTTAGTGTATGATTTTCTAGCACCTCTGGACCCATATAAGAATTTCTTGGTTAGATTTTTGAGAAATATCCAATAACAGTCTTCCAGCCCTTAAATTATGAAGATTGTTGACTGGCAGATGCTTATGTTGAAACTGATTACCGGAAATTGACCGACAAACACTTTGAAAAAACTATTCGGGACTATTTGGCTTTTCGGATTTCAATTTTAGAAGACAATATTGATATATTTCCAGGATGACAATCACGATGTACTGTTACAGGTGGGTTGAAGTTTCGTGGATTTTGGGAAATTTGTGAGCTGTGACGGTGGGTGGGAGAGGGCGATTAGACTAATTTTATCAGTTGATCTAAATCCTGTGCTGATATCTACGGATATCGTTCAATATGGTCGTTTCAAAGGTAATTATGAGGCAGGGTAAAGGAGAATTAATCATTAACTAATCTATTCTTTTTATTCCTGTGCTTTTTCTAGCTAAAAGCCTTAAACTCAGATCATTCAATCAATGATGCGTTTCGCCTTTTCTGGACTAAAGGACCTAACCAATTCGTCGTCTTTTCTGGTGGAAAGAACCTAACCAACACGTTAGAATTACGATTCTAATAAAGCAATTTTTACAAATGTTTCTCTTGGAGAAAAGGTAATGTACACAATTTTATTTCTTCTTTTCTTTTCTTTAAGACACGAGAGCCATTCGTTTTATACATTTTTGTTATCTTTTGCTATATTAAAAGTGATGCTATTCTAATTCCTTTATTACATTAATAGACCGAGCAATATTAAAAGATAGCTAAAGAAAGAGTGGCGTGGTCTATTATACTGAAGAACGTGAACGATTGTGCTGGAAGATCGTCGCGATATATATTATCGACAGGATAATGCGTTATGATCTACAGTATCAACAACGTGTGCTAGTAAATGAAAAAAATAAGGGGCACAATGCGATCTCGTGTGCTGAAGAATGCTACAAAAAAGGGGTACGGGCGCGGTTACGAATGTGATGCTGGATAATGCTGGGGTCGGAAAGTATGTGGTGTTACGGTCAGGACGATTCCCTTCATGATTTCCGGAATTGCTGATTTTAATGAAATAATTGTAACAGTACTTTTCTCTGTGGATTTTTGTCAGATGATTGATAATAGTCCATAAATAATTAATTTTTGATTCCAGGTCAATTTTTCGTAGTTAGAGTAGTCTGAATCTATTTATGAAAAATTTGATTATATCAGAAAACAAAGAGCAATTTCACTTTAGAATACTTTCATTATTACCTCGTGAAAAATAAACCCTTGAGCAATTTACTTTGAATTATGTAATGATTTCAACACAACTTCAAATTCTCCATTTCGTTTAAATTTATTTTCTTCATGATCCCATTTGGAATAGCTATAAATAACCTACAATGGTCCCATCAAACCAAGTTGCTTTATAGATTGACCCAAACCCTCATTTTGCAAGATATTTAATGTTGATAAACCTTTCAAAAGTAATCATTCGAATATACTTTTATTTTTGTAACTATTTTTGTAATTATTATTATATTCATAAATAATTTAGTTGCATTTCTCTATTAGATTGTCGGTATCTTTATCTCCGCTAGACAATAATAATTCATCGTTATAAATTCGTCTGCTATATTTAAAAATGATCTGTAGCATCCATCTATTAACTAAACACCCATCACAGTATCTATTCTTTGACATTTAGGACATTTACTATAACGATGTGTATTCGATTCCATTTTAAGTTCACCGAATGATAGAAAATAAACGAGAAATAATCGTTGTTACATGTATATAGATGCATATGTGTGTAGCGGTAGGATTCAAACGTTTATTACATGTATTTGTATCTTACATTAAGCAGCTGGGTATTTAGTTGTTCAATATCATAACTGCATTTAAGAGTAATCTGAATCTATTTTGGAAAAATTTGATTTATCAGAAAAAAAGAAAATTTTCACTTTAGAAACTAATCAATTTATACCTCGTTTATAAACTTGCTTTGAATTGTGTAATGATTTTAACACAATTTTCCTTTATTAATTTATTCTCATGATCACATTTTTTTATCCAATCAGATTGCTTTATAAATTATCTTAAACATTTCTTATATAGTTAATCCCTCAAAGTAATCCATTCGAATGATTCTATCACCGCTAGACAATTTATCGTCATAAATTCGTTTATGATATTTGAAATATTCTTTGATAATAGTAGCATTTATTACAATCAAGAGTATTGTGAACTAAACACTTATGCAGTTCTCATTATCTTTTTGACACCAATAGCATTTTACTACATACCATCTTTGAGTTCTCCTTATAAATTATATCGTTAGTAAAAAACACCATATGAAAAAAAAAGTTTGGAAGATATCAGGTTTTTATCCAGATTGTCCGAGTTATTGTTGCCGTCGCAACGAAAAATCCCGTGATTGCGAAATTCTGGAACGATTACAAAAGTCTTACTATGCACTTTTAAAAATGAGATTACCATGAGAAATTTATAAAAATATTTATACTATATATTATTTTTTTGATTTATAAAGATTTTTATAGAATTTACATCAAAATTCATGTTTTATACGTACAGTGGTCGTCATAAATATTCGGAATTTTGATATAGTGGCATAGAATAATGAAAAATTGTCAAAATTGCCTGATAATTTAGACACATCTTCTTTATAATCTGTAAAACAAGTTTGATTAAAATATTTTACAGAATTATTAATAATTATTATTAATCATTATTAATTATTTTTTCACTTTTCTCAATAAAATTTATGTCAATAATATTAAGTAATCCCATTATATTATTATAGGTGAAATTATTCATTATATTACAAAGAATATATTTATAAATTTGATATAATTCTGATATTTTTCATTAAATAATCAATAAAGATATAAATTTAGCTACATTTATGATTGTTTTTAGTTTTTATAATTTAGTAATATTTATTTGAAAAATTTCATGAAATTTTCTATTCTTTCTTTATCAAATAATTAATATACAAATTTAAAAATCCTGAATCCTTATAATGATCACTATATATAATAATTATATAATCTTTCTTCATACATCTAGTGAACAGCAAGAAGTATGATTTAAAGAGATTGTAACTGCATAGAGATCAGATTTTCTGAACTTTATAATATCTAGAACTGGAAAAAAATGTGATTGTAGAAAGTTTGACTATATATAGTGTGTCAAAAAAAAACTGGAATTTTTAATTTTCTTCATAAATATTTATTTAAATAACATAAAAATTTAAATATATACTTGAGAGTATGATAAACAACTTTATTTAAGACTACTTAAACACTTATTAAAATTTTTTATAATTTGTATTTTTAAAATTAAAAATTTTTAATAATAAGAAAACTTAAATAAATTATTATAAATAAATTTGATTATTATTTTGCAAATTAATCTTAAGTAAACTTGTTTATTAGATTATCAATTATATACTGTATATTTAAAATTTTATATAATTAAATAAATATTCATTAAATAACAAATAAAAATGATTAAAAAAGTATTTTAAATTTTTTATAATCAATTTTTTCAAAAAAAATTCAATAAAAAATATTATGAAATATTTTATTAAAATAAGCTATTAAATACATTTAAGTAAACTTTTTCACTAAATTATCAAGTATATATATTTAAAATTTTATACAAATTAAATAAATATTTATTAAATATAACTAAAATTAAAATTTCTAATTTTTTTTGATATATTATAGGTACTAACTATATAAAGAGAAGACTATATTTTATTTATTATTATAATTAATTTAATTTTTGTTATATTCTTAAGTTAAGAAATTATATTTAATTTTTTATTATTAAATTATTATTTGATTTACTTAATTTAATTTTTTTAATTAAAATAAATTATATTTGTAATATTATTTAATAAATCTTTGTACTATCAGACTTTCTAACTTTATATTATTTATGATAATATTTTTTATCTTCTTAAGTTTTTCAGTTATCAGTTAATAATAATTAAAAATCTCTATAGTTATAACTTTTTATAGATTATTTAAATTTACTTTTTCAAGTATAGTGACTATAAAGAGATTTGATTGTAATTATTTTTGTTATTAAAATTATATTTTTATTATTAATAATTATAAATTTTTTTATTTGAAATCAATATTATTTTATATATAATATTTGTTTTGAAATTATTAATTCTAAATTATATAATATTTATAAATAATTAGAATAGATAATTTATAAAATATTAGATAAACCTATTTATATAAATTATTCAAATCTGCTCAATCTAAGTTTTAAATTGAGTATATATTATATTTAAAATAGAAATAATATTAATATAAGATATAAAAGCTAAGAATTTTATATATTTACAATTATGTAATATTAATCAAATTTAATTTAATTAATTATATTAATTTTGATTTATTCTCTATAGTTTCTTTCTTTATAATATAAAATAGCTTATTAATTATTAATTTTAATAAAGTTTGTTAATAATTAATAGCTAATATATTAATAAACTTATATATTCATCCAGCTAAATAACATTATGTAATAATATCTTTATTAACAGATAATATTTACTGAATCTGGGCTAGTATTATTTTAAACTATTCAAATTTATAAGTTAAATAATACTTAATAGTAATATAGAAATCTTTAATCTTAAATACTTTTGATTATTTCAAATAGCTTGCCTAAATATCTATTCTTACTTAACTTGATAGAATTAAAGATAAGTATAGTTCCAAGCGAAAATAATGACAGCAAAAGAGATTTTTATAAATTTTCTAAAAAATGAATGCAAAATCTACTTTATATAATTAATAATATATGTTCACCAATCAATTATTTATATATTTATTTATTATCATAATATTTATTAAAAAAGCAAATTTTGCGATATTTATATTTTAATTTTATATGTTCATTTTAGATAGATTATAGGTTTATAATAGCTATCTCAGGATCCACATTATAGTTTTCAAAGTTTTTAGTTTTTTGAAAGTTTAAAATTTAAGGAATTAGAAAATATCTTATTTTTTATTAACTATTTATCAAAATATCTATTTATTAGCCCTTAAACATTGACATCGTAAGTTATTTAAAATTTTTCAATAAAGTAAACTTTCAACTCTTATAAAAACATGAAAAATTGATTTCAAAAATTGATTTTTTATATGCTATAACTATTTAAAATTTTCAAAAATTAATAAGTAAATAATTTTGTAATTCACAAAAAACATGCCGTCATTACTTTCGCCGGGAACTGTAAGCAGGTTCATTATTTAATTTTTTTTATTTTTCAAAATTGTTGAAAATACATGTGCAGTAAATTAGAATGGATACGGTAACACAGAATCACACGATTAAATTACACGTATCGACTTTCTTGTTCTAATGATGACGATAAAATTTCAAGCTCGTGTGTGAATCTGAATTGTTTAATTCTTGAAAAATACACAAAGTTATAATATCTTCGATTGATAAAGTGCTTAGAATACAATATAGGATGAGTGCAATGTAAATTTTGTTAGAATTTTTAATACAATTGACACCATTTCTATTGCACTCAGCTTATATGGTCATTGGCAGAATTTTATCTTTAATTATTCGTAATCCGTTCGCAATCAATTTGTGAAATTTTGATATAAACGATATGTCAAATTTGAAAAAATTAGAAAACACATTCTTTTAATTTTCTGGCCGAAGAGCTATTATTCTCTTAAACTACACCATCTTTTTACAATACAAAAATATTCACAGAGTAATACATCCACTACTGAAAATCGTCAATCAAAACTTGGAGGGTCTTTCTATTCTATGTTGATTTAGGTAGTTAGTTAAAAGAGATATGGTCTCAAAAGAGTCATTAATATATATTAGTATGAATTTATTATAATACAATTGCAATAAAAATTTCAGTATTAAAAGGTATTTAATAAGAGCTGAAAAGTTAAATTCTAAAGAAAAAACTAAAAAAAATGTCATTCATTAAAGTTTGATAAATCCAGAATCTATATGGATCACGAACATACCAAGGAAAGAAATTAAGGAGGGGGATATTGATCATTCATCATCCTCATCCGCAGATTCATCAAGCTCGTTAGTAACTTCCTCATCAAAATTTATTTCAGGTATTATGTCATCGTTACCCATTAAGACCACTCCCGCAACTTTGATGTATGCTTCAAGATAATAATGCCATTTACGATATTTGATTATATCATCTTTTAAAGCATTTAATCTTCTTTGCAGGTTATCCTGGTCTGGCTGCCAATTGAAACGTTCGTCGGCAAGAAACCTTATTATATATGCATCCTCGTTGTCGCGTGTTGCATCTTCAAGCCGTTTGAGAAAATTTGACACTGAGCTGAAATTGCTAGATTTGCTCAAGGACCAGATGCGCATGACAAACGGTGATTCTAGCATCCGAGGATCAAGTAAAGCTTCCCATTCATATTCTTCTTCAGGCGAGTTGTACATAGATTCAAAGGCATCTTCGTTTGCCAGAAGAAATTTGACGATCACCTTTGGCGAGAGATACCATTTTGATGAAGGGCGAGCATCAGGATGGTAGGGATACCCATATCCAAGCATCAGTGATGCGACACGACCAAGTAGTTCACGTTCCAGGGTTGGGGCTTTTTGTGGATGACTGTATTCGTATTGCAATTTAACAAGCTGCTGAGTAGCGTCAATAACGCAATTTGTAATTCCCATCGTCAAACGACGTTTATAGATGTAATTAATAGAAGCTTCTTCTTTTTTGGAAAAACTAGTCTTACTCTCAGGCTCTTCGAACATGTCCGGATTTCTGCCCATATCCGCGAGATTTATGTATAGTTTTACCTTATCTTCTGTATCTATTGGTCTACCTTTTACAATGGCTCTGACTCGTTCAGTTATTGTTTCTGAAAGGTTTGAAAAGATTGTGGAATTCTTCTCTGTTTTGGTTTGTAGTTCTTTGGATTCCTTATCAGCCTTTTTTCCTCTCTGGATTTTTTGCAGGTTTTCTCTCACAAAGTCAAGATAACGTGATCCCACTACTTTTGAAAGGGCATTGATACCAACTTTAACTTCCGGCTCCGTAATCAGAAAAGCTCTTGCATATGCCGAATTTGGATTATCTGCCGCCCATTTGATTAAGTACTTTTCATCCTGATACACGCAGATGCCACTCAACTGATAAAAATGAACAAGTGACGTAGAATGTGTCATCACCAATAGATCAGTACGTGCATCAAATGTCTTCTTAAAATGATTATATGGGCCCTCAAAGAACATGGCATAGAGCGCCCACGAAAGATCTTCAATCGGCAATACTTTATTTATTTTAGGTGAAGATTTTTTAGAATTCATTTTATTTTTTATCATCTTCTTCATAATGTTTGCAATTTGATCCTCCGAACTTTGCTTATCTGTCGAATTTTTATTTTTGTGGCTCTGACTCAATCTCCAGTACCGTTCAAATTTTGAGACTAAGATCCCTTACATAGGATTATCACTCTGCGCTTGTAGCAAGGAAGAAAAAACAGTGTCGCGCATAATACGGATAGCATATTCTGCATGTAGCAATAAACATAAAGCCCCAAAGACAGCCACCCATTGGTTACCTCCGTACACAACAGGATTTCCTGCAATATTTTCCTTTTTATGTTCATAAAAAATTCGGCCGTAATCACCACTGATCTTTTGTTCGACAGCCTCACCAAAACTTAATTTACTCGACGTTGACGCTTGTACTTGATGTGAAATGAATTCATCTACATCAATCTTACGTAGATCTACTAAAGTCGATCGCATGGTATATTCTTGTATTAAGCGTTGTATTAGCATCTGTGCTGTATTAAAACGATCATTAACAGGGTTGATATAATTCTCAATTTTTTCAATATATTCATGAAAATTAGAGCCTTGAAAATCTTCAGGCGGAAACTCTGCGTACCCGTTGGTGTCTTTAAGGGTTTCGAAAATTTCCCACATATCTTTCAAAGACCATCCATATCCTGCACTGGTTTCCCGTGCTCTTTTGATCTCTTTCCCAAAATCTTTTAACAAAGGATCAGAGTGAATGGTTGAAGTATATAGCGGTGAGGAAAAAAGTGTTTGAAATACCAATATAAACTGTTTGCAGAATTCAGGTATCAACCCTGCTCGATCTTTGGCGTGCCTAAGGTGTTTCATTTTTACATTCAGCTCCGTGTTTGCGCTAGATTTCCGTTCCGATATATCTTTTATAAGTTCTTCAGCAGAGTCGATTGCAAAGGATTGTGAAGAAATCTGATCACTGATAATGAAGAGATCTCGAGTGGTTCCATCCTTTTTCCTATTATTTTTTTGGTTTGCTTCTAATAGCAGTTGCCTAATATAGAAGGCATGGCGGCGAGACTCTCCTTCACCACGGCTCCATCGGTCCATACAGTCACAAAAATTATCTAAAAGGTCGTTTTGCATGATGAATTTATACACAAAGAAACTTCAGCGATTCAACATTTTTATGTCCGTAATGAAAGAAGTGGTCCTTATATACATAGAATGGTTAAAGATTTTCGTACAAAACTTTACCTAAGTTTTTTATATAGATTTTCTAAATTCGGTAGTATTATGATCTAAAGCTTGTTTATACAGGTATTCTGCCAGACGATTAAAATCAATTTTGATAAATAAATACATATAAATATCAAGGAACGCATGTATGCACAAACTCCAATTAGATTTTTTAAACGTTAACGTTTAACTTGGAAATTCTTTATATGCACATGTACATACATGTACATATATTTATATATTTCCTTTCCTAGCGATAGAAGTTTTCCGCAATTTCTTTGTTTTACGAATCTCGTAGTACGTTAACACACCACAACGCTAGTTAATGGTGACGAAAAGGAAGTTTTTAAGTTTAAGTACTTTATATAATCAAGTTGTCGACATTTTTCATGATTATGAAAACATAATTAAAGCAAGTAACTAATCGATTAAATAATACAAGGAAATAGAATTTTATATGGATTTGTATCCTAATTTTTTATTTAGATATCTGTTATTACTACAACGCATACGGCAGATAATCATATTTCGTTGGTACGTTAAATAATGACTGAATTTCATTTTTATATTATTAATATTCTTCCTCAACCCAGAAAATTAGATGTTCCCCCAACTCAGTTCACTTTTTATTTGCTGACCAATCTTACGCCACTTATTCTGGAAAAAATGCTGCTCTCCTCTTATGACGAATACATAGAATTCTTTTATGCACCGCCATCTTCACCATCATCTTTGTTATCAGACATTACGGCCTACAATAATTTATGATCGTGAATTTCTGAAACGCGTATTTGTAATATATATGTCATCAGTCATCAGACTGCTTTATTTCTTCACAGAACAAATACAGATGACAAGGACAATGAGGATGATAGAAAAACATCTAATAAAATTCTTATTTATTTTGAAAGTACAATTGTGATTTATAAAAATTATAATATGTTGAATGAGATTGATTATTAATATTGCTAAAGATAATTATCTTAATTCTATATGTTATTACAGATTTATAAAATACCGTAAACCATCAATTTTAAGCACCCCTATTATTAAGCACCACTTACGTTTTAGTGATTCCTAAATTTAGCACCACCATTGCAAAAATTATAATCATTTAAACCTTATTATTACTTGATTTGAAAAGCCCCGTTTATGAATTAGCACCATTTGGCTAAAATGATCATTTTCCCGGTGCTAAATATCGATGGTATATGGTATTTATGAATATATCAAACAAAGAATTACCGAAATAAGAACCCGAAAATAGGATCTTTCGAAATCAAAATCACGGGATTTTTTATTTTCGAAACTTTTTGATTTGATGCCCCGATTTATTATGCATACTATGCGTACAGAGTGCACATAACGCACACTAGCCCATCTCTAACATTCTTCATTAAAAAGCAAAAATTAACATGACCCAACCTTCTAGTTATATGACGCGCGTAAAAAAGGGAGAAAGACAGTCGTATTCTGTTAGAGGAAATTCGGGAAAATGATTAAGTAGAGAAGAATAAAGATTTTATTTTTTGATGTGAATATGTAATATAATACGAGCTTCTGGGATACCTAATTATAGAATAAGCGCATATTGAGAGTTTCGTATTTACAGAACTTATCATATTATCATAATTTTCTTCTAAAATCAAAATGCTTCTTATTTTCGGTGGGTGCCTATAAGTACTAGAAAGTCCAAAATTATTTAAGCTTTATTTTTCACTTTTTTGGTGAGAATGATGGTTGAGCATCGTTCAATTGGCTACACGATTTCCAAAATTTGAACAACGAATAGAAGAATTGATAAAAGACAAAAAAAGATCAGTGATATCATTATCTTTTATAAGTATCCAAATGGAGGTCTTTTTCTCACATGCGTAAGCAACAACAAACAATTAAACTACAAAAAAATAGTCTCCAACTCCTCTCCAAGCTCTCAAGTTGAAGTTGGCGAAGACATGGAGGAAGAGAATGATCAAGATGGTGAAAAGGAGGATGATAAAGATAAACAAGAAGAAGAGAGACGACGGGGAATCAGATATCGAGACGGAAATTAAATTATCATTACCTCAGCAAAAACAGCTAGTCAAATCTTTGACCATGTTTGTGAACCTATGGCAAGAAATCGAATCTTTAATGTCTTAACATTTGTTTCATATAACGCTACTTCGTTAGTAAGGCGAATTAAACTTTAATGAATTTATTTGAGAACGAAATAGTAACAATTATAATTAGAATAACATTTGTAAACACAATTTATTCTTTATAAGGTATAGTATAAATAAATTATTATTATACAAAAAAAGGGGATTATAGAAACCAAAAATTAAGGAGTGACAATTAATCGAAAAATTAATTAAGATTGGATATGATGATGACGGATGGTAAAAAATGATATGAAAAAAGATGGAAACAAAAAATTGTATCTTCCAAGATTAAAAGAAAAGAAAATAAAGAAAAAGAAATTATTATATAAAATTTCAAAAAAGCGAATTTCTTGTTCTTTTAGTTGCGTGTATCATCTTTGACTAATTTTTATTAACCTGTGTACAGTTTAGAATTTATGACACAGTGCAATATGTTGATCCCTAGCGATCAGAATTGCACGAAAATACCATGATTTGATTCATCATGTTTAGACGAATCGAATGGTGGTATTTTCGTGCGATTCCGACCGCTAGGGATTAAGATATCGCACTTGAAATCACCGTACGCCAAAAATTGGCGGTGATATCTCGCTATCTAGAGATCGGAATCACGTGAAAATACTGTCATTTGATTCGCCGTGCCACAACAAATCAAATGACAGCATTTTCACGTGATTCCGATCTCTAGGTAGCGAGATAAATTCACCGTATATTATATCTTCATGTTAAAAATTTTGGTGCACGCTACCTAGAGGTGAAATATCACCATTCGATTCGTCTAGGCACGACAAACCGAATATATTTTCATGCGATTCCGATAGCTAGTTATCAAGATATCGCATCTGTTTTTAATTTTCCTCATAATTATCATTTTAAAATATCATCCAAAAAATAATTATTTTTTCATTTTTTTTGCTAAACTTATTCAAAATGAATTTGCTTTTTCAACCATAGTAAATATATTAAATTTTGATGATATCTGTAAAAAAGTTTTTCTAATACAATTTTAACTGCGTCATAATAACTCAATCTACCTTAAATATACGTGATTTATAGTTCTTATTTTTCATTTTTTTA